TTAGTGCTCCCAACAACTACCGGCATAGGTGTGACATGGACATTAAACATGATCTTTGTTTTGTCCATGTTCATCTTAAGACCTATCCGTTGGGAAGCACTATTGAGGTCATTGAGCATAGTGCTTAGGTCGTCCAGCGATTCTGCCATTAGGACTATATCGTCGGCAAATCGAAGGTGAGTGATAAATACGCCATTGATGTTGATACCGTATCCTTTCCAGTTCAGAAGCTTGAAAACATCTTCCAATGCAGCGGTGAAGAGTTTCGGGGATATGACGTCACCCTGTCTTACACCTCTCTTCAATTGGATAGGTTTCGTACTCTGGTTCTGTACTCGGATAGCCATCGTAGCCCTACTGTACAAGCACTTCAGCACTTCGATATACCGACAGTCCACTTGGCACCGCTGAAGAGACTGCAGCACCGCCCAAATTTCGACGGAATCAAAGGCTTTCTCATAGTCCCCATACGTCAGACATAGTGGCAAATTGTACTCCTCTGACTTTTGTACAATTTGCCGAAGGGTATGTATGTGGTCTATGGTGCAAAAGCCTTTTCGGAAACCGGCTTGTTCGGGAGGCTGGAAGTTGTCAAGTCTGCGCACGAGACCATTCGTAATGACTCTCGAAAACAGCGCGTAGACGCGGCTCAGAAGGGAAATCGGTCTATAGTTTTTCAAGAGAGCGTTGTCGCCTTTCTTGAAGAACAAGACCACCGCACTTCTGCTCCACGCCTCCGGTGTAATGCCACCATGAAGCACGGCATTAAAGAACTTCTGAAGGACTTCAAGTACCGGTTTTCCACCCGCTTTCAGAAGCTCCGCTGTAATTCCATCCTCGCCCGGGGCCTTGCCGTTTTTAAGGTGCTGGAGAGCTATTCTAATCTCGCTCAGACTGACGTCCGGGATATCATCGGAATAACGTCGAATAAGACTCGCTCTTGGATCGTTACTCAAACTCTCGTGTGGCTCCAACGATGACGTGTACAGCTGCCCATAGAACCTCTCAATCTCACTCAAAATCTCAGGTGCTCCGGAAACGATGCTGCCACATTCTGTCTTCAGCTTTGACAGTTGGCTATTTCTGGCAGACAGATCTCTGGCAAAGAATTTGGAGCCTTGGTTCCGCTCGATCGCTTCTTCAATACGAGCTGTATTGAAGTTGCGTAAGTCCCGCCGCATGCATTTGGAGATCTGTCTGTTCAGTTGCCTGTATGCTGTCAAATCTGTTGAAGAATGTAGCTTCATCTCCCGTCTCACAGAATACCAGCTCAAAATAGCTTAATATTGCTGTGTTTCGTAAGGTGAGTGTAGAAAACCGGAGACCCTTTTTACTGGAAAAGAGGTATTCTATCTTAGTCCTCACGGCTGACAACGCATCTGCATTTTGATTCGCAAACGAAGATAGATGTAGATGTCTTTGGGCCACAGTATCCACTTGCCATCAGGTGGACTTTGTGTTTGTTTGTCACCCTTATTCTATAAAAAAGTAATGTAGTAGGCTTGTTCCTTTGCCTTATTATTTTTAAATTTACTATATAGAAACCTCTGTTAATAATACCTTATTGCAGATTATTTTTGCTTTGATATTCAAAGACTAATTAATTTTCATATAAGACATCCCGCTGACACTTCAACATCAAAGTGAATAAGAAACAAATTAAAACACTAGCACGACATACCAAAGAATAAAACAAAACCCTTAATAACGTTACAATAAGGTGTAGATTACAATAACCGTGTTTTACAGAAAGCAAAAAGATGTCAAGGATTAGGGGTATTAAATTAATATCTGTCAGCTTCTGGTACTTATTATGTGGCATTCGACACTCAAAGTGTGCGATAGTTAGGCGAAAAGCTTTGTGGGATCTATAATCCTAAGGATTATTGTCTCACTTCTTCTGTACTGAATATTCTATGAACACTATATATAGCATAATATTTACGCGAAGACTAAACATTAAATGAAACTAATTTTTACGGATTCTATTGCGTTTAATTTAACTTTTTATTCCCGACGTTTAGGGTGCTTTACAGCATAGATAGGACCAAAAATTAATATTCAAAAACTGAAGGTAGCCGGGCTAACTATGACATCGGGATGTCAAACACCTCACCAGTGACCATGGGTTCGTATGGTTAAATTAATCGCGATAAAATCCGTAAAAATTAGTGTCATTTACTATACCGTGTGTTAATGCGGCGCATAAGCGCAAATCAACATACCTATGGCATTCTTTGATGATTATTATTTTAAAAACGAAAAGAAAATCAGTCAGTACCATATTTTTACCACATTGATTGCCCCTTTCCAAACAGCATTGGTGAAACGGGAACAAGCTAGGTTACGATAAGGCTGACATATCCTTGTAGGATAAAAGCCTTTTTAAATAAAGATAGATAAAAAAAAAAAACGAAAAGAGATATAACGCATGTTATTTTGGAGAACTTGTACAGTAAGCTACGTAGTTTAATAAAACATGCTGAAAAGGTTATCTCAACGTACTAGTTTTGAAGTTACAGACCAAAAATTAAAAAGTATTTTTTTTTTAACAAAAAAAATTATCTTATTTTTTGACAAATTTCCTGCTTGATATCGTAGGTTTTTTTTTTAAATTTTTATTACTAGTTAGTCTTTCTAACTTTCAAATAAAACTACTTTGAAAAAAATACACCGTTTACTTAAAGAGAAAATAATTTAAAACCGAAGGATGGGAACTTTACCAAAAAAAAAATTAAAATGCTTTTATTTTTTAAATAGTTTACATAAAAAATTTTTTTTTCGATTTTTTACCGATAATTTTTTTATCTAGTATCCGCACATTTCGTTTGATCAAGTGTACAATTAACACATTGTATATATAAAAGCTTTTACAAAAATTTACTTCGCAAATATCCGCGTTATAAAATAAAATGATGTGTCTTACCTAGTATGAAGAAGCACCTCCCGCCCTCCCTCAATTGCGTGCACTATCACCGTCACCACTAATCCCAGCACCGCTACTTCCAACACCACTACGCTAGGCAAGACACACCACTGACGATAATACGACACGTGTTTCGCCTCTATACGAGGCATCCTCAGGTGATATAGACTCTACGGTGGCTAACCGCTAAGTCTGGTCGTATTATCGTCAGTGGTGTGTCTTGCCTAGTGTAGTGGTGTTGGAAGTAGCGGTGCTGGGATTAGTGGTGACGGGGATAGTGCACGCAATTGAGGGAGGGCGGGAGGTGCTTCTTCATACTAGGTAAGACACATCATTTTATTTTATAACGCGGATATTTGCGAAGTAAATTTTTGTAAAAGCTTTTATATAATGGATTTCCGCAAAGTAACGCCTGATTCTATTAATTACATTGTATATATTTTATAACAGTAATACTTTAGCTTTAGATAAACTAAAATTCAGGGATTTTATTTCATTGGCTTATAAATTTTTAATAATTTACGTAAATACGGCAATTAGCTTTTTGAGTAGCGCCGTGTTAAACGCTTGCCTCTTGAACGGGTTCCCGCCTTTTCGTGATGTAGTTGTTTAGTAACCGTAACTTAGTTACTCACGGTGAATAAAGCGGTGAACGGCCGGTTCAAGCTGGCCGCTTCAAGTAGGCCTGGCCGCGCCTATCCATGTGTTGGTGGACTGCGGCGGTTGTTGTATTCTCCCCGCCAGCCCGATGCAGCCACGGTGGAGTTGGAGTTACGAAGAGTAGTGTTGGTATTGCTTGAGCCACTCGCATGCGACTGATGCAGTAGTGGTGAATCCGCGGTGTGAATGGAGTGTCGGTATTGCAAGGTGCCGCTTTTCCTTCCGTCTGCAGCCGTAACTTGGTCGGCCGCGGAGCCGTAGACCAATTTCGCCACTTTTGTACGTGGTAGCGGTAGGACCAGGCCGTGGTAGTACGTGGTAGAATTCGACTCAATCGGGGAAGCACCACGCTATCACAATACCAGCGTAAAATAACAGCTTAATGTTGCTTTATTTCGTATGGTAAGTGTAGAGAACCGGAGACCCTCATTACTGAATGCGAGACATTCCATCTTAGTTCTCAGATGTTACAACGCATGTGCATCTTAATTCTTAGTCGAGGACCAATGTAGATGTCTATGGTACACAGCAGCCACTTACCATCTGGTGGACTGTGTGCTCGTTTGTCACCCTTGTTATATATTTAAAAAAACTTGGACGGGAAAGTCTAGTTCTTCATTACAGCCTATCAAACGTTCAGTGTTCGCTGAACATGCCTCCATAGATTGCTTCAAGGAGGGAAATTTGCTTAAGTTGCCACGGCTGGCGGACAGGTTGGCAACTGCAGTTTTTTAATATTTTGAGTATCAGGAACATGGTGGTGCCAATGTCTCGGGACTCGCTATTTCAGTGCTTTTGAACGCACATTGGTACAATTTCTGGTCGTGTGGCCTCCTTCTAACGTACTCGGAGAGATTCGTTTACGCAGGAGGAGTTGAAGACCGTGTATGAAGGCGCGCCTTATGTTCCTGTGCGCCTTACCCGAAGAGATACAGAGGGGGAAGAGTTATCCTCTCCTAAGGATAGGGAAAACATTCCCCTAGCCGATATGAGACGAAAGTATAATGTGGGGCAAATGTTTCTAGTCGATAGGAGTCCGACATTTGCCCTTCCTTATCTCGGCGAAACAAGTATGCGGAGACATTACCCCATGTATAAACGGGGATAAATGTGAACAGAGTTCGATCCCCGCAAGCACAGAAAAAAATTGTTATTTTAATCACGTGTTCGTTGATAAAGAAAAATATCTCTCTCGATGTTTTCTTTCACATACGTCTTTAATCGGCACTTAAAACTGCACTTGCAATTTCAATGGTGTCAACGGGGAAATTATCGCCAATGCTATTTAATTCAAGTCGTCAATACAAACCGTGACAAGGAATATAAATAAAGTTGAAGCCAGGAAAAATACATCCAACATTTTTTATTTGTGTACAGTTAAATACTACCCGCATATTTAATTTTGATGCCAAAACTATCGATTTTCTAAATCGCCGACCTCCTCCTCTTGAACGTTCCACAAAAATCGACTTCTGACATCAACAGTCCGTTCGCCGTCAATCGTTCCGACATCGCTCCGTGCATTGAATATCGATTCCAAATCGTCGTCTAAAATGGATGTCACCGATAATAGAGTTGAATCGATAATGTTGACCGAATCACCCGCGTCTCCCCTTTCTGGCTGACTTCTGTGGGTGCCTCTGGTCTAGAATATAAACATTTGATATTAACTGAGTTGCTTTGAAAAATGGCGCTGGACGTCACGCTTATGCCAGCATATTCAAGGGGAATCGACAGAAATGTTTTGACGACCGCAGTACTCGTACCTTTAACGCGGTACGCCGTCACCTGTCTGGACATTTTAAACTTGTACAAACCAGGTCATGGGCAGCGGCGTCTTCCTAAATATAACTATAAAAAAACTTCAGTTTCCAACACGCCAGCCAACTTTGCAACTTTTTTTTTATAGGATAGGGTGACAAACGAGTACACAGTCCACCTGGTGGTAAGTTGTTGCTGTAGCACATAGACATCTACATCTATCCTCAATAAAGACTCAAGATGCAGATGCGTTGTCACACGTGAGGACTAAGATGGAATGCCTCTATGCCAGTAAAAAGGGTGTCCGGTTCTCTACACTCACCATACGAAACACAGCAGCATTAAGCTGCTATTTTACGCTGGTTTTCTGTGAGAGCGTGGTCCTTCCCCGGTCGAGCCGACCCATTCGTACTACAACTATACTACTAATATAGCTGCAGCATGGCTCTACTACGTAAAGAACTATAACAAATATCCCGCCTATGAGGAAGTATATGGGCAGGCTTATGTACAGCAGTGAACTTCAATAGGCTGTAATCAATAAATGAAATACTCCAGATGACTATATCATGTACTAGTGGAGATCTTATGAACTTTTTGGCATTTCCCACAGTCGCTTATGGCACGCACGGTATGACACATTGTGGAATAACCAAGAATTACCATCGGTTAGATTTTGGACAGACGTTGGGACAACTTCCTCGTAACACCTTTCCGGTCAAACACCCAGGTCAATACCAGGTCAATCCACGTGATGTTTATATCTAATGCAAGCCTTCGCTTGACTACTATCTCAGCATACTTTGATGAAGACGGTAAATGCACTACAAACGCCTTTACATTTTGCTGAGGACTGTTGAAGTGCTCATAAGGAAACTCTTTAAAAAAACCGGCAAACCGGAAAACGAACCGGGAGATCCATAGCACAGGATGTCGTAGTTTGGACTCCCGTCCCCACAAATTTAAGTACTCTTTGTTTAATTAAAAGAAAAAAATATGTTTGTACAAGATAAATTCCAATATACTATTTGTGGGAGAAAATAATAAAGGTTATTATTATGGGGGGTATCTATATAGTTTTCTCATCTGGTTGGGCTGTATAAACATACAATTGTAAATTAAAATGATAAACATACATAAATATCAACAAAATAAAATAAATACATAAAAAATACATAAATAAATAAAAACCCAACCAGATGGAAGCCCTCGGCAGGGGAGTCGAAACGGCCGAGGGTTAGGGGGAAAGGGAAAGAAACCGGCGGAGATGCGGGCGGTATCGAGGAGCACCGCCTTCTGTATTTTAGCTTGGAGCGGTTCGTCACGGAATCCCATTCGCCTCAGATGGCCTCAGAGGCTGACTGGGATTAACCCGTTCGCAGAAACGACTACATGTATAATTTCGGCCGGCAGTCCACCCCACATGTCGGTCACCTCGTGAGCCAGGGCCACATATTTTGTACGCTTATCTGTTTCGGCTTTCACGAGGTTCCCGTCATACGGAATGGTAATGTCGACCAAAAATATCCTTGATGGTGCCCGGTCCATCAGCACAATATTAGGCTTATTCGCAAGAATGGTCATGTTTGTGATGATGGCCCTGTTCCAGTACAGCCTGGCGCGGTCATTTTCGAGCACGGCTTTCAGCATTTACTTATAATAAGACAGTTTCCGATCCACGAGACTGTATTTCAGAGCGAGCTCCTGGTGTAGAATCCTGGCTACTAAGTTGTGCCTATGCAAGTACTCAAAGTTAGAAAGCGCCGAACAACCGGAGATGACATGCCTAAGTGATTCACCGGGATGGCAACAATCGCACTAAACAATCAAATTTAATATAATATGTATCCTACTTGACAGATACATTGTGTTTTCATGCGATGGCCAAGTCAATCTATTTATTTAAAATATAAAGATTTTTGATATTGATATGGTCACTATAAGATTTTGTTAGGTTAGCTAATTACGTAATAATTTAAGACAGAAAGACCCTTAAGTAGGGACTGAATAAATTAACCAACTTGGTATTATATGGATCTTACAACTTTTTGCGGTAGAAGAACTGAGTTGTGAGACTTGGCTTTTTTACAAGTTATGTTTTGATGGCAGATACATAACATGAAAAATGACGGACTTGCATACAAAATATCACCCTCTATTTTACCCTTTCGGGGGTAGAATTTTCAGACAATGTAAAATACGTATTTCTTTATTTTTAATCAAGAGTCTAAATACCAAGTCGCATAAACAGTTTGAAAAATAACTTGAAAAATAAAGGACTATCATACAAACATTCAACCCCTATTTAATCCCTTTAGGGGTAGAATTTTCAAAAACTGTGAAATACGTACTTCTTGCTTTTAATTTAAAGCCTAAATACCGAGTTTTATATATCTTGAAAAATGATGGACTTTCATACAAACTTTAACCCCCCATTTAACCCCCTTGGGGAAGGAATTTAAACAAATCCTTTCTTAGTGCTCGCCTGCGTCATAAAAGAAACCTACTTTCAAGTTTCTAACTTCGGTGGTTCAGGTTATGTATTGATAGCTCAGTCAGTCAGTCAGTCAGAACAAGTATTTTTATAAGTATAGATTTATTTTTGTTTGTTCGTATTGTTATGTGTTGCCATACCGTTTCATCAGATTGCGGTAAAACTTTGTCAACTTATTGCTTGCACATGCGCGAAGGTAGGAAGGCATAGTGCAATTAACTTACAGTAGGTGGCGCCAGTATCAGAACAACAAATTTATTTTAAAGTTATATATTATTCAACTTCAATAAATATTTTATCATTCGTAATTAAACAATATAACTTTTCCAAATTTAAAACGATATTTTCGCAGCAATTTATTTTGCGGCTGCAACGCGCCTTTTAGTTACTACTATTACTACTAATGAAAATTGTTTGAAAAATAACTGTTGATTTTCTAAATAAATAAAGGAAGATTTTACAATGCTCAGATAAAAGTTATATGTAGGATAAAATTCAATATTATACAAATAAATTACAGTCGTAAGAATAAAATTGCTGAATCGTTTCACTGTTATATTCAGTTGGTATTTATGGTAGTTGTAAGTTATAATTTTTATGATGGATAACATCTATCTCATGATTGTAAAATCAGTCCTAAATAAAATATAGAAATTTGACAAATACTTACATCAATAATAGCCATGTGTAGTATTGGAACCTCCAGTTTCAAAGGCGGTATTGGTTGCGGCTCTTCATCTAAATACGAACGTTCGGTTTTCACCTGTATATTATTGTACATTACTGGTGAGAATTTACAATAATTTTCTTTTTAGAAGTAAGGGGAACAAACGATTACACAGTCCACCTGCTTTTAAGTGGATGCTAGCACATAGAAAGACTTAGGACTAAGATGGAATGCCTCGTTTCCATAAATGGATCTCTTGGTAGGCTTGAGCAAAAGATATCGATATATCAAAATATCGATATTTAAAAAAAACTTCAATACATATCGTCGATATTTTAAATCGAGATATTTCGATATATCGGTCGAATTCGTATCAATTTCGATATATTTTAAAACGTGACAAAACATGTAACAACAAAAGGAGGTACAAAAGTATTCATGTGTACATCATGCAAATGATGACGATATAACGATATATCGATATTAGTAACGCAATATAAATCGATACTGTTTGAAAATATCGATTCGATATATATATTTTTTTTCCCTTGCCCATCCCTATCTCTGGGTTTCTACACTCAACATACGAAACACTGCAGCATTAAGTTACTTTTTCACCCTGGTCTTCTGTGTGAGCGCAGTCCTCCTCCATTCGAACCGATCCGTTCAAGCTACATCACAATATAGCTGCAATAGCACTTTTCTTTATTTCTCCTATATGCGTTCCTTATTCGTCAAATTACTACGAAATTTTGGTGAGTTGTTGTAAACGCGCGCTCGAAAGTTCGAAAGTTAATATTTGTTCGTTTGTTTCTTTATTTACTATACCATTTATCCCGAATACGATGAAACTTTGGTGAATAGATAAGCGCGCATCTGCGAATGTTTCTGACAAAAAGTTTGAAAACTGACCACTGATGTGGAAGAAAGGTTCTCGAGTGACAGCCTCTTAACGGTTAGCGATGGGAAGGGCAACTACCCACTAGATGGGGTGACGCCCTGATAAGAGATGAAAGAAGTCGATGGATGTTGGTTAAAGAACCATGCTGTATGGCTTTCTTTTGGTGAGGCCTATGTTCAGTGTTCGCGCCCGAGCGCTGGTTTTGGGATTTGACGCCGGAGGGCGCTCGGCTCGGTGCCGTACCGGTTTTGACGCTTGGGCGAGCGGTGTGGCTTTGGCAGAGGACGCAAGCGCAGAACGTGAGTGCAAGGGAGTTGCTTGAAAGCTGTGCTGTCGATAGCACGTCGTGAAGTCGCTCGGAATAACCTCGATTTTTTAGAGTCGGTTTTGTTAGCAAATTGTGCAACGACGAGGAATTGTAGTCTAGAATTAGACGCCGGGTTGACAAATTGTTAGGAAGTTAACATTGATTGCGATCAACGTCTGAATATGTGTGTTGTGCGTGCCTAATTTACCGCGAATTTGGTTATTCTAATTTGATAGCGTATATAAGTGCATTTGACAATATTCATTTGCTCGTGCGGCATTTGATATAGTTCGGAGACATTTTCGGTTGTACGCTGAACTTTGTGACACTAGAGAAGGTCATGTTAGGTTCTAGAAATAATTTGTTGCCACGCGAAACGGAAGTGACCTTTGATCCGAACATTCGGTATTCGTGCTGTGTGTTACGTTTTTGACTATAAGTAACGGGATTTAGCTGCGTTTTGAAGTTAGTTAAATGTACAATAAAGTTAATAGACTGACATAGTGAAGAAGAAAGAAATTGACCGTGGGTGACGCCGCTGGAGATTACCATACTTTGGAGCGGTGCCGGAGTCCGGGTAGCTGCCGACTTCAACGGTCTAGTCAGGTCAATCACAATCCACACCACCAAAAAACATCACTACACATGCACATACACACCTCCGTCCTGACCGAACCTTGAGACAGTCGTCGCCTCAGATACAGGTAAGTACTCTTTATTTGACTAGCCTCCCCATTAGATTGTAGTAGGATAGAACATTTTCCATAAGGCCATACGGGCTCGAACCCGCGGCTGTCCGTTGAATCTTCCGCTCAGGGGCCCCGGGATATTGAACCTTTGCAGGGGCAGCTGCGGGCCGTAACATTCAGTGTTTGATGATTTAATACTAAGATAAGGTCTGACTTTGATATTTGATAGAAGTATGTCTAAGTATTTGTTGTCCAGTTTTCGAAATTTTGATAGTAAGGAAGCTTGCTCCGTAGGTGCAGTTGCCTCAACTAACCCTACTATAAAATTTAACCAATATGTGATGAAATAGCTCTTACTTGTGCTCTTAATCTGCACTTGCAAGTTTAAACAAGCCTAAAATCTAGTCTTCTAAAGGATAAACTCATATCCTACAGAGGGCTGTTTAAGGGTTGCCAATTATGACACCGTCGCAATCAATTAGCTCATTTAGTCTTTCACTTAACAGCCAAGCCTTTTGACAAAACGGGGTCGTTCAACCGGCGTCGCGTTGAATTAAACTAATAAGACGATGCCATGATATGTCTCTGGTCTGTGCCTTACTGTGCGCTATGTGTCATATAATATAAGCGTACGCGAACGTCGTTGCGACGAAACGTCATTAGGGTGGCCCAACCAGCCGCACCTAATCCTGTTGCTGATATTAAAATATATGTAGGTGCAATATTGTATGAAACGCTTCGGCTGAATACCATTTAAGCCGCTAGTTAAACGGCGCCATTTAGTAAAAAGGCTAACTCAAAGGCTAATTAAACTAGTTAGCTTCAACAGCACTAAAACAATTAAAATTAATCGATTACATACTCTTCTCAGTCGCCACTTCTCGAGTAATTCGTTTGAATATTGTAACCCTTGTCTGCTTTCTTGGAGGAGTTCGTCGATGCGATCTCTCTTTTTCCTTACACTATATTTGTTAAGCGCCTGGAAGCAAACACTCACCGTATAATATGCGTCCACCGTTGGACTTGTCGCTGTCTAGTTTAAAAGATTTTTTGTTATATCAACGTCTGCTAGATGAATCAGCTAACCAAATAATTCAAGACTTCATATACGTTCTACGCTGTACCCTAACAGTGGTTTCGAAGAATTTTAATCTGACGTCTGCAACTCTTACCAGTAAGCAACACTGATCTAAAGTACAAGTCCTGGTCCTGGATTGGAAACCCAATAATCAAAAATAAATTTGGAAAAATCCTCAGAGAATTTAGATGGAATGCTAATGTCTGTTTATACTGGTTCTATATACCTACTCTTTACAACGGAAGATAGCAGTTCAAGCGCAATTTTTTATTAGACTTAGAAATAGGTACCCAGACTTATTTTATGTAGTAGAGCCATGCTGCAGCTATATTATGGTTGTAACACGAATAGGTCGGCTCGACCGGGTAAGGACCACGTTCTCACAAAATACCAACGTAATAATAGCGGCTAAGTACTGATGTATTTCGCATGGTGAGTGTAGAGAACGGGAAGCCCTTTTTACTGGAAACGAGTCATTCCATAGTCCTCAGGAGTGGCAACGCATCTGTATTTTGATTCCTATCGAGAGTAGATGTACGAGTAGATATCTATGAGCCATGGCATCCACTTACCATCAGGTGGACTATGCTGCTCGTTTGTCACGCTTATTCTATAAAAAATGAAGACGGACTCCAACGCAGTAAAAAAGTTCAACCACCTTGTGAAGTTACTTTATTTTTACTTTACTCACTGTCATAGTTAGTGCTACAAGTAGAACTTCGGAAATCAGTACAGGTAGGTTTATCGGTGTCTCATTCTCAATTATTTGGAGTCTTGCCTCTTCTTTTATGGTTTTCTTTACGAAACTGATAACCTTGCATGTCATTCCTTTAACCATATGAAGCATTCCATTGCCAAAAACGCAGTGTACCAACAAAATACTTGCGATAATTATTGAGAAGAGTAGAATGGTCTTCGCTTTGTACATAATTACGAAAATTTTGATACTAAATAATCCACTGGAGATATTTTTTACGTAATTTAATTCATAATTTTAAATTTTTGTGGTTATTATTTTTAATGTCAATACGATACTGTCATTATTCCTTAACGTAGGTTTAAAACGGTCCTATATAAAATTGAATACCCATCCAGCCCATATATTGTTTAGGCCTTGTTTAGGCATTATTTATAGGGTGCTTCGTTTAGTAGTCAAGTTTTGAAACGCTGTAGTATTAATAATAATAACAATAAATGTTTTTATTGACATATAGATTTAACAAATGTAGGAACAGTGAGTTAAACATCTAAACAATGTTCAAGACAAGATAAACAAATATTTTCCATTGGACCCCGAACTAGGATAATCCTGTATCTTGGGGTCCGGTTTGACTTGATTGACGCTGATAATATTCTAATATTATTTAAGTTACTACATTCGAGTAATTTAAATAAACAAATATTAATTTCTCGTTCAGTGTTCATAATAGGATTTTATTATAACATAGCAGCAATAAAGCATTTCATCGTCATTATCATCATTATTGCCGTACACAAGTCCACTGCTGAAGATAGGTCACCCCCAAGGAATGCCACAAAGCACCTGAGTCTTATCAGGTCGTCACTACATCTAGCGGGATGAAACGTTAAAAAATTAGTAAAAAATTTAAGATATATAAATAAATAATTAATAAAATCTCTCTTTCAGTTTCCCTCTATCTTTTTTTATAGAATAGGGTGACAAAAGCCCACACAGTCCACCTGATGGTAAGTGGTTGCTCTGGCCCATAGACATCTACACCAATTCTCGTTTGCGAATCAAAATGCATATGCGTTGTCACCCGTGAGGACTAAGATGTAATGCCTCTTTTCCAGTAAAAAGGGTCTCCGGTTCTCTACACACTTGAAACTAACGGTAGAGGCGTGGACAATTTATATGGACAATTATTAATAATATTAACATGGACAATTTATATGACCACTGTCTTATCCATAATGATTTTAATTCCTCTCAGATCATCATCATCATCTTTACAGCCCTTCACAAGTTCACTGTTGAATATAGGCCTCCCCCAAATAATGCCACAAAGCTTGGTCCTGAGCCACCTGCATCCATCGACTTCCTGTATGTCTTACTAGGTTGTCACTCCATCTTTTTCTTTTTAATAACTGGCTTTACGGCTCTGGGTTGTAGCCCTTCTGAGCCTGAAGTTACAATGTATAATAATTATCCTTCATGGTACACTGCTTCACAATATGTTGATGCGTCACATTGTGCAGCCCTTGGGAGATTTTGACGGCAACTTGAGCCGGCAGACAGTTGACAGTTGGCGATGGTATCTCAAGGCGCCAATGCAGACAGACACCTTATATTGAGAATCACATCACCATCAGAGCACTTGTTTCACCGTTTCCATTAATAGTTCACATACGTAGACATTTAATACACAAAATCGCACCACTTTTACATATAAAAATCCACATCAAACCACTATTTAAACAATAATACGTCGGTCAAGTTCCCGCCAAAACTCCTGTCACTCCATCCTTCTTCTTAATAACTGGCTTTACGGCTCTGGGATCTAGCCCTTCTGAGCCTGAAGTTACAATATTATATTATAATAATTATTCTTCATAGTATACTGCTTCACAATATGTTGATGCATCACATTGTGCAGCCCTTGGGAGATTTTGACGGTAACTTGAGCCAGCAGACAGCTGACGGTTGGCGATGGTATCTCAAGGCGCCTAAGCAGACATGCACCTTATTTTGAGAATCACATCACTATCAGAGCACTTGTTTCACAGTTTCCACTAATAGTTCACATGCGCAGACACTTAATACACAAAATCGCACCACTTTTACATATCAAAGTCCGCTTCAAACCATTATTTAAACAATAAAACAGAAGCAGCAAACCGCCGCCGGTCAAGTTCCCGCCTAAACTCCTGTCACTCCATCCTCTCAGTTAGTTGCACAGATTACTATTTTAAAAGAGTTACTTGCATAGATTATTACTTGTTTTTATTCTATACTGTAGTGACTTGTTTCCGTAGTTACGACGTTACAAGGGCTACGTAACGATGTTGCCAATAGCAACACTGTCAACTACTTTATTTTGTTCAACTTTGATTTGAGACACTGTAATTTTTTCATTTATTACTAATTTTACTCTGTAAATAACTAAAATGGTGAGTATATTAATCTAAACTACTTATAACTATTTTACTTCAAACACATTTTCTTCAACAGTTTATACAACAACCACAACGTTATGGGCGATAAGCTATCACAAAACTTCACTGTTGTCTGTTGGGTGTTGATCAATTTTGTACAACCGACTTCAGTATAAAAAAATAATTTATTGTTGATTTTTTTAAAAACCGCTCGACCGATTTCGATAAAATTTTAATGGGACTTTCTAGGAAGTATACCCTTTGAAACAAAAACGAATTTTCCAAATCAATTCAGGTGTCTTCGAGTAATCAGTGAAAATACATAAAAAAAAGTTTCCGACGAATTCAGAACCTCTTCCTTTTTGAAGTCGGTTAATGAGACACATCGTTATATATAAAGATATTTTCATAACACTTAATAGATATTTAAATCTCTTTTAACATCTCCATTTCTCCCGATCGGTACCGAACACTTTCCATCAACCGTTAAAATCTGGACATAGGTCATTCCTATGGGATTAATCGTGATCGTACTTAGCAGTGCCTCGGCAATTGTAACATTTATTCATGTCTTGCATTTAGATCTACCTCTCTCTGGCACAGGCGAGTTATTTCATGCCATGGGATGATTATAATGATGATGATGTCCTTCAGAATTTATTCGGTCTCGGTGGCTTGTCTTAACGGAAACTAGCAATCTACGCAGGATAGTATTATATTGCACAAGTGTGCGCGTAAGCAGAAGAAGAAGGAGAGGGGGCAAACGAGCATACGGCTCACCTGATGGTAAGTGACTACCGCCGCCCATGAACAACTGCAACACCAGGGGAGTTGCAGGTACGTTGCCGGTCTTTTAAACAGGAGTAAGTTCTTTTCTTAAAGTTCCCTAGTTGTATTGGCCCGGAAAAGTGGTAAGCTATTCCAAAGAGAGTTCGTATGCGGAAGAAAACTTCTAGTGAAACGTACAGTGGTGGACCGCCAAGCATTCCAGATGGTGGGGAAGGTATCGGGAATTTAGACGCGATGTGCTTTCGTAAAATTTGGCGGCTGGGATTAATCCGAACAATTCCTCAGAGCACTCCCCGTCATAGATGCGAAAGAAAATGCAACGGGATGCAACATCTCTTCGCAGCGCCAGTGAATCTAGCCGATTGGAAAGGACTCGATTCACCATTATAATTATATTATAATTATTTACAATATAATTCACCTACTCCCTTACTATCATAGTCCGATGGGACAGCAATCTGACACGTCTAAATAAAGATCTATAGAGAAAATACCAAGGGCGCTCTCCAAGACACGTGAGTGAAACACCCCGAATTTCCTAACTGATGTCACCACCAACAGTACAAAATCAATGATTGATTATAATATTAGTCTACGAGAAAATGTTTTCTTTGTTTCAACCTCCATCTATTATATTATTTAGATATCTTTTTGGGGAACTAAGGTTCACAATCATAAAAAATGTTGACTTTGTTTTTAATTGACAGATGTAGTTACACTATTTTATTTTCAGGCACCTAAAGGAAGCAAGGGTGGAGGTAAAAAGGCACCTGGTATGTATCTGAATAACTTGATAAAATATGTGAAATACTCTTTTATACATTGATAATGATATTAAATCTTATATTTTTCTTTGTCAGCTATCATTATAGATGGCGTAGATACATCGGAGATGACTAGAGAAAAACTAGAACAGTTTACTCTTCGTGTAAAAGAAGAGCTAGATAAAGAAAGGGAAGAACGAAACTACTTCCAACTTGAAAGAGATAAAATTCGCACATTCTGGGCAATAACGCGACAACAATTGGAAGAAGCGAAAGCTGAACTGAGAAATAGAGAACGAGCAACAGAAGAAGCACAGGAAGAGAATGAAGCGCTTTTAGAAACAGAGAAGCAGAAGATAAAACACTTAAAATATGAGCAACAGGCCGCTGCAGCTGCTTTGAGAGCTGAAAATCTAGTAGCATTAAAAGCAGCCAAAGAAGATCATGCAAAACAAGAGTTAGAACTTCTTAACGACAAGCGAATGTTAAGACAAGAAATGAGAGAGAAAATGCTAGCAGCTCAGGATGAATTGAGAAGAGCTAAACTTATACACGCAGAAGAATTGTCTAAAACTAGAGAAGAGTTTGAAGAAAGAGCACGCCAAATAGAAGAAAAAGCCGAAAAGAAACTTCAGGAGACAAAGCAGGAGCTGACGGTGAAACATAGAACAGAGTTAGCAGAAGTAGAAGAGAGGAAGAACAAACAGATATCGGAATTAATAGCTCATCACGAACGGGCGTTCGCAGATTTGAAAAACTATTATAACGATATAACCCTAAATAATTTAGGTATGTATATGTGTTTGTGTTTAGCCGGCTTCAAATAAAGGGAAAGATTATTTTTATAGAATGAGGGTGTAAAACGTACTCACAGTCCACCTTTACGTGGTAGAGCCATTCTTACGTGGTAGAGCCATGCTGCAGCTATATTAATAGTGTAGTTGTAGCACGAATGGGTCGGCTCGACCAGGGAGGGACCACGCTCTCACAGAATACTAGCGTAAAATAGCAGCTTGATGCGGCTGTGTTTGGTATGGTAAGTATAGAGAACCGGAGACCTATTTTACTGGAAAAGAGGCATTCTATTTTAGTCCTTACAGCTGACAATGCATCTGAATGTTACGATGTTATAAGAAAATCCTGTCAGTCTATTTAATGGCTTTACTAGGCCGATCTAGGATCGCATCAGGATGAAAGATTCTGGGCTAGAATTGGTCATAAAAATAATGTAATACCCCTAACCAATAAAATCGTTGTG